AATATACAAAAGCTGCACAACGATAACAAAACTGTCGTTAACTCCAATAACGAATTACAGAATTCCAGCACAGCACTGGAATTCTATAACTCGTTACTGAAGTTAACGACAGTTTCGTTATCGTTACGCAGCTTTTGTATACCGTAGAAAAGCTGCGCAACGATAACGAAACTGTCGTTAACTCCAATAACAAGTTACAGAATCCCAGCACTGGTAGCACAGACTCACGTCAAAATGACGTCCAAATCTGGTTAGTTCATGACCAAAAATGACCAAGGAATGACCAAAAATGTCGTGAAAGTGTCGTTAAAATGACGGTCTAATGTCACAGACCGATGACGACATTTTAGAAGACTTAATGACGTTTTATGATATCTCTAAACGTCAATAATACGTCATTAAGACGTTGTACAGAAACGTTATTAAGACGTCACGAAAAACATCTTAAAGACGTCGTTATTTAGTCACTTGACGTCAATCGACCAGTTATAACTAGTTTTTTATGTCATTTTGATGTGAGTCTGCTACTTGGGATGTTATTAACAGTGATGTTAATGTCATTAATAGTGATTCTCTATTAATTCGCAGCCGCAGCCGTATAGCTTCCAATACGAAGTCGTCGATCCGCCAAGTGGTAATGATTATGCTCAACGCGAGAGCAGTGACGGCAATGTTGTTCAAGGAGAGTATAGAGTCCTGTTGCCAGACTCGAGGACGCAAATCGTCCGCTATATGGCTGATGACGTGAACGGATACAACGCGGATGTTCAGTACGAGGGACAGGCTCAATTCCCCCGTGGAGGTGGTCCAGGAGGATATCAGGGAGGTGGTTTCGGCGGCGGTTACCAAGGAGGTCAGAGTAATTTCTATTTTATTTTTAGTGTAAAAAAATCACATTATTTAAGAATAGACATTATAAGAATATTTAAAAATTGTTTTAGGCCTAGTTGCATATTATTTTGATTTTAAGCGAGACTTAAATATATGTTCGTCTTTATTTAGAAATAAAGATAAAGATAGATATATGTTTAAGTTTCGTTTAAAGCCAAAATAATATTAGTACCAGGCCTTCGTCGCTTAAATCATTTCAGTTCGCGAAACATCGGAATCAGACAAGAATTCACGCGGCTCAAACCCGAAAACCAAATCTAATATCCTTGTAAATATATTTGTAAAATGCTCCAAAAACTATCTTTCCCCTTGAGTCAATAAATAGTCTTAAAATTAATGTGACAGAATAGTAGGTTGATAAGAAATGCGGTATATCATATTAACTTTGAAGCTACCCAGACAGCACGAGCTCTAAAAATGACGCATAAGATACTTACTCAAAGATATCTTTTAGTTGTGTTTATATCTTTAAAAGATGATTATAAAGATGACTAAAAGGTATCTTAAAGTCATCTTATGTATCATTTTTAAATCTCATGCTGTCTGGGTATTTAATGAATGTTAAAAAAAAGAATAGTTTTCGGAGCATTTTACAAATATACTTAAGCGATTTGGAGCCCTATCCTTGAATATGCGAGTAAAATATGCATGCGGAAATCTATGGTATACATAACGTGAACTATAGGATTTCATGCACATCTTATTCGCACGATATTGAAAATCGCCACTATGAAATGTTCTTTCATGTAAATATGTGTGTGTGTGTGTGTGTGTGTGTGTGTGTGTGTGTGTGTGTGTGTGTGTGTGTGTGTGTGTGTGTGTGTGTGTGTGTGTGTGTGTGTGT